CTCTTTCCATGGTTTTAATCCTTTGTTCTTTAGGAATTTCATGGGCACCAAGTACTATCTGTAATATTTTGGGTAAAGTCTCACTTTTTCATATGACATTTCTGTATAAGAAGATCAAATAACACTGATTTTGACATTACTATTTTACTATAAAGCCTGTATTTCTCTTAGCTTCACAATTTTTTTTAATTAAATACTGCAGTACATGCATTGTCTAAAATTTTGGGCGAAACTTCAAGATATCATGCAGACACTTCTTACACATTAAAATGTGTGAGGAAGTACATGGAACTGAAATTTGAGTAGCTCTGGAAAAAACGTTCTCAGCCTTTCAGTGAGTTACATACTGCAAAGCAAACAGTCTAACCATGAGATAAATAACCCTGATGAGAGAGAGAAGCAGAAGGTTATAAACTTCAGGAAAGCAAGTTTCAGGGGGTTCATTAATTTAAACAGAAAAAAAAGCTATAGAATGTGGATTTATTTGCAAAGATTATTTTCTCCAATTCCCTCCCATTAAACTGTATTAGTTATACAGAAACATACAGACAGACGCGTGAGTTTGGGCCATTTTGGGTTTGGTAAGTCTGCTATGTATGAGACAGTCCCACAGTCTGGTCAGCAAGATAACCTCAATGCGACAGTGCTGAGAAGTCGCAGCACGTTCGTTCTTGCATCGCACCCATGGCCATGGCTAGCACAGCAGGGAGAATTCAGCTCGGAGCAGAAAGGCATGGGTGAGATCTCCTTATACCACACACCAATTTCCTGATGTGTTCTTGGTCCTTTAGAACAACTGACAGCCAGCCTGAACAGGACGGGTCTCCAGTTGTCATGAACAAGCACACGGGAAAAAACAGAGGCAGTGTAAGCTGGCATACGTAACCAGCTGACCTGGTTCAGGGTTTCCAAGAAAAGGAGGAGAGCAGAGTGGAGTAAGGGGGAGAGCGAGAAAAAGAGAATTGGAAGGCTCCCGGACTATATTTACATCACTGAACCTTGGATAGAGCATCACCAAGTCTACCTTACCCCTATAAACTAAAAGCCCAAGAAGAGCTATATGTTCTAAAAATGTTGCACAATCGTATTTTTAAAGCTCTAATGGAATGTCTAAATTTAGGCACTTGATTGGCGTACCAAAGTTTGGAGCCTACCTGCTGGAGACTCTGTCTTCGTTCAGGGGACAGCGATAGGAGATTTGGCCCATCTAGGATCTGACATATTCTTGGGAAATCCAGTTCTCACCATCAGCAACTGAGGGAACCTAAATCTACCATGCTTGTAACTCGGGTACCTCAAGCTGCTGCTATACAGGTTTTTCTTTCAATAGCATTACTCCTCAGTCAGCAGCCACTCCCAGCTTTGTCTGCATCTGTGCTGAATCCTTAGTAAGGGCAGTACTGTTACTTATGTCACTGTATAGTGGACTGGAGGACCGATGGAGGCTTTTTAATTTTTTGTTATTCTTTTTTAAAGCAGGCACAATTTCCCAGTCTGCTTCACAAACATCCCAGTACAGCACTGACAAGTACAGAAGCAGCACAGGAGAGACAACAGGCAGCCAGCGTCGGCAGCTCAGATACCAAAAGAAGCGTTTGTGAAAGCTCATGCTTTGCTAACTGCCAATGGCTTAACTGGGACAAATCCACATTCCCGGGTGGAAAGCACTGGAGGCATAACAGTTTATTACTGCCATGGTATGCTGTCTCCAGCTTGGCGAGCGTTTGCTGCAAGCAACTGAAAATTCAAGGACAAGGAGAGGTCTATCAGCCCTACCTACCTTTGTTGAAGATAAACACAACGCAGAGGCAGTGGGGTGGCTGCAGGTCCGTACTTACTTTCAGAATGAGCTCCTTGGCTGAGTGGGACATCAGGATTCTGTCGCACCAGGCTGGACATCTCGTATTCATGTACTGCTTTCCCTGGCTGGAGTCCTCGCTGTATGGGTAACTGCAAACGAATCACAATCACAGCCATCAGCAGCTTTTTGCAAAGCAGCCTGAAACCTCTGGCTCGAATGACCACAGTAATGAAAAAATTTAACTGACAAAAAGCAGCTCTTTCAGACGCCTCTCATAGTTATTTATCTTTCTTTCCTCCTCCCCCTTTCTTTCTCATGTGCTGTTTCTCTATTTCTCTTCTCATATCTACGATCTACTTTAGGCCACCATGTTAAAACACATACAGTTTCAAAACTCTCACCTCCTACCTTGCATTTTCGCATGTGAGCGTGTTTAAAGACAGCAGACTATTGATCTATGTGAAAGGATGAAAATCAGTTCAACAACAACTCAAGTACAGAGTAGGCTGTTGGCTACGACTACGGAAAATGAATAGGTGGAAGATGAAAAGGGAAACCTAGGGGAAAAAAGGTTCATCTCGTGGGATTTCTTTGCATGATTGTCTCAAGGAGAGCTATCCAGGAATAATTTAACAGAAAACAGCGTTCAGAGCACTGGGGTCTCTGCAGCTGTACACAAACGCCACCTGTACGGATTCTCTAAGGCTGACAGAAAGGAAGATATGACAAGAAAGCAGGCTTTTCAGGGGATTTCTTCAGAAGCAAGGAATTAGGAATGTGGTTTAAAGAAAATGATGCTGATTACATAAGATTCTGTTCCTCTATATAAAATTGTGTTAACAAAAAGTGAATTATTTTGTAAAGACATCTAGAATAGAAGCTGATTAAATGGTAGTTATGCCATGGGGTCATTATCAATGTGCTATGGGATCTCCAGTGTATTCTAACTTAGCTTTAAAAGGCAACAGAAATTGTTTATTTTAATCTACAGAACAGCCTAAAATAATGTAACTCAACATGCCTGTGTGAGCCCACAGGCTGAAGTCCTCTAAAGCACCTGAAGTGGCAGCCTCTGGTTCAACGATCAGGAGGCCAAAGTCTTCCTCATTTTATCCAAATGTTCTCACTGGTTTAATATGATAGAGCTTTGAATTTGATGATGGCTCATCATGCTGTCAGGCCCGCTGTTGTCCCAGACCATTTCCAAAATGGCAGGGGTAAGTAGCCAAAGAGGGGTTTTCGAGAAATCCAGAGGGTTTGTGGCAGGCTCAATGTCTTGAATATTTGAATAGTCTGAATGAATTGAAGTTTGTCCTTGATAGACGTCTTTAAACACAAAAAATACGGCTGGTACATATTAGCTACATAAGTACGTGTGGGTGTATTTAAAATGACATTTGCATTTTATTCTGCTCATCACGGAATTCATAAAGGAAATACTGAGGTTTTCATGATATGTGTGTTAAAATACAATCTTTGCCATTGTAACGAAAGGGTTTGCATGCTTGAAGAGAAACTTATTTACCACCCTACTTGGTGTGATACTCTGAAACTGAGACATATAGCTTTCTACCAAACGGGTTTACAAGCTACACTGCCATTAAAAAGATTAGCCATGGCAAACATCCAAGAAAAGCGTACTGGACGTATTGGAACAAACCAGTGATCTCAGTACCTTTTCCACCTCATCAAACCTAACAAGACTCATTTTCAAAACATATTATGAGAATTCAATTTGCTGCTTCACTGACATACAGAAGTACAGCTTATTTCTGAGTGTCTGTGAAATATTTTGATGATGTAATACTATTGGTAGTAGAAGCTCTTTGTCTGCAATTTAGGGGTTTACTTTTTCTGGTAGCCTCTTACTTTAGTTACTCAAGAACCCCACATAGCTGAAGGTACTTTTTATGACATAAGGTATAAGAAGCAATCACGTTTCATATAATCCTTCCTTTTACAGCATTAACTATATGGCTTTTAAAGTATGATGTTCCGTACCTGGAATGATCTGTTACTGCTCTGTGTTAGAGCATTTCATCCGAGAGCCTATATTCTGTGAAATGGTGTTTATCAATTTGCTTTATTGATCTTAACGTTTTCACAGGGTGAAAACTTCTGCCAATTTTTCAAGGTCTTTAGCGCTCATCACCCAGTCAAGAAGTTACTGTAGTTTACAAAGATCTTTGACAAATCAGATTTCTAATGGCTGGGGCAGAGATGAAAATAAATGCTGCAAAAATTATCCAGACAAAATGATCTGTAGGTAATAATTTAATACAATAAAGTGGGGCAAGCTCTTCTTTTTATAAGGCAGCATCCTTCCTTCAGGCCAGAAGTGTGGAAGCATTCTGTCTTGCTGCACTCTAATGAATAAGGCTTCTCCACCACCGCCTCTTCGGCTTGTGCAAGTCTCACTCTTAGTGAAATGCTGACACAGGCATAATAAAAACGCCTAACTAGATATACCCCCCAAAAATAAGGAAAACTATTTGCTGTCCTCCTTCATGCTCTCGAAGGGTCACAAATACTCTGGAATAAGCAGGCTTCCTTTGTAGATGGGTTCAAAAACTGATCATAGCTAAATACGACTCAAAATTGCTGGGAGGGATTCTTTTTTGTGTCTTGACAGGTATGCCATTTATATTAAATAAATTTTTGCAAATAAAAGCTCTATTAGAGGTTTCTGGAGTAAGACTGTCACTGAAGAAATTTTCATGAAACATACTGCTGAATGTCTATCATTCCAGAATAAAACTTTTCAAACAGCATATACTCCAGCAGTTGTCTCCATCATCCTGTTCCGTAGCCAAATGAACGAGTGGAATGAAAATAGTGCGACTGCTTCCAGAACCGAGTCATCTTCTTGTGAACTCTGAAGCTTTTACTTGGTTGGAGCATCTCTAAGGGTTCTCTCCCCTGTGGATACTCTGGTGTCTTACATGATGTTACCTTGTTCAGATGCCTTCCCACCAGCCGATGGGATTTAAAACCAGTCAATAGAAGCAATCGAAAGAGGGGACAGACAGATGCGTAAGCATTTCAGGAAGCCAGGCTGATGATTCTGGTGCTGCCATAACAGAAAGATGTTGCAAAAATCAAAGACACAAGGAAAATGCCCGAAGCCTCAAGAACTGTCACACACAACAGCTCTCAATTTCAGTCTTGTACACAGAATCTGCCACCAGAATCCAGCCTTTGGGTATGCTCCTGCTCTCCCTGCAAACACACGTCTCCTGAGGCTGGCAAACTTGGCCCCAGAACCATGGAGGCTGCAGGGTGCCCAACAGGATAACTAACAGGAGAGCATGTATTTCAGAAAAAGCGGGACATAAAGTCACGACACTCATTTTGCTTCTTCCAATACAGCAACTGCCCAGGTAGCACAGACTCAAGATGGTACTCAAGAAACTGGAAAATGTTTCCACCGACTGCAATGGGCTAACCAAGACACAAGTGTGCTAATACACACTTCTATTTGACTATTAACTTTTTGTTGTCTCTAGGGCAGCTTCACGATTTATCTCCTCTTTTCCTTCCTTTCAACCCCACTTCTCACCTGCTTCTTTGAAATAAAGCATAAATAGCCTCTTTTAAAGAATAATGTACATTCAAATTTGTGTGCATGCAAAAAGCAGAACTATTCTTGTAATACACATCTTCCAAAAGACATTAAGCGTAAGATTGTCTACTATCAAGTGCACTAAAATAGCTTTGTTTTGCTGACATGTCCAGCCTCTTTTAGCACACCCATTCCAGGCAAGTAAGGAACTCGCAGTTCTTAATTCAAAGGTCAGTTAATAATTCTAGTTAACAGATTTTCTGATCTATGAATTGTATAAGCAATTACAGGCTTGATAAAAACAACTGTGTGAGGGTAGGGAGGCTCTGCAGAGGGCGCTGGCCAGGCTGGGTCGATGGGCCCAGGCCACTGGGTGCGGGTCAACAGGGCTCAGGGCCGGGTCCTGCACTGGGGGCACAACAACCCCAGGCACCGCTGCAGGCGTGGGGAGGAGCGGCTGGGAGCTGCCCGGCGGACATTGACATTGACCAGAAATGGTGTGGCCAGCAGGAGCAGGGCAGGGATGGTCCCCCTGTGCTGGGCAGTGGTGAGGCCGCCCCTCGAATGCTGTGCTCAGCGCTGGGCCCCTCACCCCAAGGCGGCCATGGAGGGGCTGGAGCGTGGCCAGAGCAGGGCAGCGAGGCTGGGGCAGGGGCTGGAGCCCGAGGCTGGGGAGGAGCGGCTGGGGGAGCTGGGGGGGCTCAGCCTGGAGAAGAGGAGGCTGAGGGGAGCCCTCATCGCTCTCTGCAACTGCCTGAAAGGAGGCTGGAGCCGGGGGGGTCGGTCTCTTCTCCCCAGGAACAAGCGATGGGACGAGAGGGAACGGCCTCAAGCTGCGCCAGGGCAGGTTTGGGTTGGGTATTGGGAAAAACTTCTTCCCCCAAAGGGCTGTCAGGCCCTGGCCCAGGCTGCCCAGGGCAGGGGCTGAGTCCCCATCCCTGGGGGGATTTAAAAGCTGCACAGATGTGGTGCTTAGGGACATGGGTTAGTGGTGGGCTTGGCAGTGCTGGGTTGGACCTGATGATCTCAAAGGTCTTTTCCAGCCTAAACGATTCTACGATTCTATGAACTACAGATTTGATAAAAATAATTTTAAGGACTCTACACCAAATAATCAAACATTAAAAATTCCAGTATTAATCTCCCAGAGGGTGAGATCATGCCACCTTTCTGTGCATGCGTTATTAGCCTTGACCATCAGAACTGTGACTGTGGCAGAGAAAAAGGGAGAACCAGCTCAGTCCCACGACTAGACAGGAAAGAATGTCTTTTCCTTTCAGTAGCATTCTGCCTCAATCACAACCTATCTTGTGCAAAGTACACAAAACAGTGATCTTGAAAATGAACAGCAAGCGCTCATGTAAAAATGATGACATAACAGATAAAGGCCTTTAGGTACCACTGAAATATAAATGATAAATAGATATAATGCTAACACATACAGGTGCTATAGATAAGTTAAGACTGTACACACTTCCTAACTTCAGCATTCAGTATGGTTACTGACTTTTTTTAGACAAACTATATTATATATATTTAAAAATATAAATGGAGAAATGAGGAATTCCATGTGGAACAACTTTTCTG